AGTTTAAGACATGCGTCGACATCTTCTGGCTCAGATTAAATCGAGCGTAGATTTATTATGATACTTCTTCCAGTTGAAGTCGGGCATAGATATCTTCTATTTCAGATTAAATCGAGCATAGATTTATTCTGATTATCCTTTTGGACCAAGTCGAGCGTAGGCTTACTTCATATATATCTTCCTATACAAAGTTAGGCGTAGACCTAGTCTAATTTCTATCAAAAGTTACTTAGGATCACATCTATAAGCCCATCTCCGATGACTATTTGTCACCTCTCCAAATGACATCTTTAAGCCCATTCCCGGTATAATCAACCAACAGTGTTACTTCGTGCACCAGTGAGTGCAATGTTCTGGGCACTAAAGTATTCAATCATCTTCTACCTTTAAGTCACAAATAGAGGACATGCCAATCTAACTCTTCAGGTTAAGAAGATTGAATAGGGGTAGTTGTTGTACCCCAAAATTTGCCCTCCCATTTTTTCTTCAAGACATGCTCACAAAGGTCTCAAGTACTCAAAACTACGCAAGGGTTGACTAGTCAAACCTCCTCCTAAGCAATGGGTCCATAACTAGGGTTTCATATTGCACAAGGAAGAATGGGTTTCAAAGGTCTCAAATGGATTCCATGATTTTCCATAGGTCTTCAACAATGCTCATGTCAAGTTTCAAGTCTTGCATCACAAGTTTGCTCAATCAATGGCTCAGATGATTGAAAGTCAATTGTATTGGGTAAAAAGTCAACCATGGTCAGCTTACAGTCAAAATTCAAGATTTTTGGTCAACATCAACATTTTAAAGTGATATTCATCATTTGATCAAGGGCTGATCATGATTCCTAAAAAAAACCCTCTGAAAAGATCACAAAATTCTCAAGAAAAAGCAAGAGTTCAAAGTCAAAATTCCAAGCATTCGTAGCCTAAGCCAATCATTCAAAATACCTCTTGAATCTTTGTAGGGTGAGAATGGATGATTTTTTATGTTTTCGGAACCTTTATTTTCATGGCCGATTTTTTATTTTTGTTATCATTCATATTTTTTAATTCCATGCATTATTGAATGTTTAAAACAGGTTGCAGTCGTTACATGGAGTTTATTGTAGGATCAAGCGCTTACCACTAAGCTAAAAGCAATTTCTTGTAGCCAAGGTGCAACTTTATTTCCATATAGTACGAGCATTTTCAGGGGCTGCACCTAGTTTACTAAGCACCCATGGGTGGGATGTCAAGCCCTTCGAATCCCTAAGGTTGACGCTGGATATTTTAATCCAACAATCTCCCCCCCGCAGTGTCAGCCAGGGGGATTCAAATCCATGACCATGCTCTGATACCACTTGTAGGATCAAGCGCTTACCACTAAGCTAAAAGCAATTGCTTGTAGCCAAGATGCAATTTTATTTCCATATAGTATGAGTATTTTCAGGGGCTGCACCTAGTTTATTAAGCGCCCATGGGTGGGATGTTAAGCCCTTAGAATCCCTAAGATTGACACTGGATATTTTAATCCAACATTTATGACCCCCAGATCTGCAAACACACAGTGAACCTCTTGGAGCTGCTCACACCGGATCCCATGTTGGCATCTTGGGCCCAAACTTCTTTCCTTTCAGCACCCTCCAATTTTCTTCATGCCAGGCCCAATATTTTGTTTTTATATTCTTTGTATTTAATTTTTCTTTTACTTTTATCCATTTATTTTATTTAATTAAAATACAAAAAAAAACTAATTCTTATGTAAAAATAATTAGACATTAGGTTTTTTTATTATTAACTTAATTTTCTTAAAAAAGGAAAAAAAGTAGAAATTGTTAGGTTTTAATTATTTTATTATCACTTTAAGAATATTTTCCAAACAATAAAACATCAAAAAAATATTTTTTTCTACACTTAGAATCTTAGGTTTACTAAAACATTTTTCTAACATTTATTTTTACTTCTTCATTTAAATTTTTAGAAACAAATGTATAGGTCGCGCGGGTGATTTTGTAATAGTCGTAATTTATATTTCCTCGCTTTTTTTTCCAATTATGTAACTGCTATAGTTTGTAATAGTTTTAATTATGATTTATTATTTTCCCCCTATTTTATGATTTTGTACCCCCTTTCCCGAAGCCTTGTAATAGTTTAGATTTACTTTCCACACCTTTACTTTCCGCAATTGACTGCTTTTACTTATTACTGTATAGTAATTAGGCGTGTATGGCAATATCTAAAACAAAACGCTAGAAAACCTAATCAAGACAAATTAACGGAAAATAAATCACTTTTCACACACGCACCTCTAGGGTAACCTCACTTGTTGCTTTCGGATAAAAACAGTCATGTCCCTTGAACGTAGGGATACCATTAGCAAATACCCTCGGTTAAAAATTATCATACAGATCATAGTCCCTTGATGATCCTTCGATACTGCCTTCAGTAAATGATCTTGTCCCTCGATGTTGCCTATGAATACATGATGATAGTCCCTTCGAATTGCTAAAGGTATCCCTATGTGTTACCTTTATGACTGAACGATGACCCGTGCATGTCCCTTAAACATCCAACGATAGGGTTTCCTACTATTGCACCCCAACATTTACCCTATTGATTTCAGATTTTTTATGGCTTATGTTTCATCATACATATTCATGCATGGTGACGGGGTCAAGGCTACCAAGGTTTCTTATACTTCTGGACACTTCATTTGACTCCTTGTCTCATCAAAGGGGTTGAAAAATTGTTAGGGTTTTCAGTTGGATGCTAGGGTTTTTCGTTGAGAAGATCACATGCTTTGGCTTTGATGTTGAGTTACTCCTGCGTCCAATATACCTTCTAAGGGTTGTGATACGACCGCCTATCATGGATCTTTTCTCCTTAAGAGGCATTGCTTCCCCTTGTTAGGATTTATTTTGTTTGAGATATAAAGTGTGAGCCATAATGAGTTGAGCTTAGAGATTCTTCGTGCTAAAGATTTCATTCCTCCTAGTATTGGTTGCTTGACACATAAATATTGGTTTATATTGAAATTTGAATTGAGATAAGGATCCATGGAGAGTTTGAAGACTTGATTTGAAAAATGTTCTCGTAAGTTTGTTAAGGTGTAAGCATCATAGGATTTACTTGTAATACTAGTTATTGGGAGTGAAAGACACACACTTTGGTTACAAGTTTATTCAAATAGGCTTGTTTTCGGAAATTTATCAAGCATTTTCATTCAAGTTCTGATTGGAATTCCATACAAATTAATCATCCATTCATTCAAGTTCTATGACCAAGCTTCAAGATATAAAGATTTGCAAAAATACATTCAAATTTTATCAAATTGACAAGATTATTACATCAATTTTTAATTTACAAGTCTGATTTGTAATGAAGATTCCATTCTAAAATCTTGCAAGTTTTATTACATGAGGAAAATTACACAAAGGTCCTAAGCTACTTGTGAAGACATTAACTAAAATATTTTATTTAAGATCTTGGTTTTCATTTTCTTCATGTTAAGCTCCATGCCATCTTCTTCATCTTCCCTCATCACCATTCTCAAGCTCACATGAAAAAAAAAACAAGAAAGAGACACGGTTAGCAAATAAACAGTGAACAAAAACAAATAATTTTCTAAGAAGAATTTCCTCTCCAAGATTCATCATTAAGGTTTTGTAAAGGAATCAGAAAATAGGGTTGGTTTTCAATCATGTTCAAGCAACAATAAAAGCCTCATATAATTTTGGTTAACACAAATCAGTTTTCGCGCAAGCTTACTACACAAGTTTCACAAAAATAGCATCACGGTTCAGCAAGTATGCAAAGTTCGCGGTTCTGTCAAAACAAGAAAGTCACTACAGTAAAAACAGATTGCAAGCAAAATCTCAAATTCCATCCCAATAAGCAAGTTCTCATATCAAAAATTACACCGTAGCAGAATATTGTGCAACCCAAGCAACAAACAGAAACATACTGCTATTCGTAAATAACTGGTATAACATCTAAATTGAATAAAAAATTATAAACTTAGCAGTACATCATCACAGATCCAGCAAAATAAAAACAAACAGAAAGTCAGAAGCCCTAATATTTCATCATCATTTTCCCTTGCACAATCCCTTCAGAATACAGAGAAAGAGAAGAGGAAAGGAAGCTTTCAAAAAAAAGTCAGAATCAGAAAGATATTACCGGGAAGAGCCTCAGCTATTGGTATCCTGTCACGAGCTTGATAAACTCACAACTTCATTATAGCCATGTCTTCCTCATCATCAGGTACCTAAATTTGAACAAAAAACAGGCCAGCCTTAGCAAGGGTCTGACATTCAGTCTGTATGTAGCATAATTTGGCTATATATCTTGTAAGGCATCCCCAACATGAACCGGCATCCTGTATATTCAAATTAGAAAATAAAAATAGAAAGGAAATTAGACGTGAGGAGGAATTTGCAAAAAGATAATTAAATCAAAAAATATTGTGAAACTTAACAGCTCAACAATTTATCCAAGGCTTCTAAAGAAAGTTTCACAAACTCAATCCTGACCATTCAATTTCTCTAACCGTAAATTAGAATTGACAGCCAAGATTGAATCAAGTTGTAACTAACTTCTACTGATAACATAAATATAAAAGGGGTAATCACCTTACAACGTTCTTCATTCTTCAACTGGCAGAAGAATCACTATCGCATAAAATCTTCATCTCCTCTCTTTCTCTCAACCTTCATCGCCATCTTCATCCCCGTCCCTCTCAACTCAACAACCTGCATCATTAACGCAAACAAACCGCAACTTCATCAACCTGCCGCAACAATATCAACATCATCTCTATTCCCTGCGATCACATCTTCACAAGATCAATAACCAAAATTGATTCAGAGATCGAGAAAAAATGAAGAAGAAGTAGGAAGAGTTACGAGATTAGACATGTACCAGATTGCTTTCTCGCGTTTCGATCTCATCACTCTTGAAGAACCGCTGGTGTTGCTCCAGTTGGTAAGCGTTCTTTCTCCCTCTATTACATTTTTAATAGTGTGAAGTTTATTTGTGTTGAGAACGAGCGAGATGACTATGGAGGTTAGCATAGGTGTTTGTTGAAATAGGATAAGAAGTGATGTCACCACAAGAGCTGAACGATAGAGGGCGTCTGAAGTTGAGAACACCGTTTGATTTTGAGAGAGATGGAGGAGAACGGAGCCGCTGAAGATCCGAGATGAGACAGAGTAGTGAAAACATAGATTGGAAGGCGCTGCGCTATTTTGCTGTTTGCGCAAAGAAGAAGAAGATAGGTTTTGTTCCTCTGTTTCACACTTGGAACTAAACCATCATAACTTTGAGCCCTAACTCAATAAAACTACAACATTTCATTTTTTTTTAGATAATAATAAAACACAAAAATTCTAAATAAAGTTCTGGACACTTGTTAAATTGGACCGGACCATATTACTCCTCATTAAGCCCATATCACATTTTTTTTAACTGAAGCTGGACCAAAAAGCTCCATTGGACTGATTCTGCATGGGCCTTTTAGTGCCTGATTCCAATTACACTCTTTGTATCCAGCGAGCACCCCCCCTTTTCCTCTTGAATTTCAACATTTTTCTTTAATTTTTAGCAATTAATTTTGATATTTCATTTCACAATTTTTGGTTGAATTTCTGTGTGAATATTGATATGTTGATTTCTGACTTGATGATTTTTTTTCATAGTTTTTCTATTAGTTTAGAAATTAATCGAATTAATGCTTGGTGCATGATTAAAATCAGGATTATAGAGCATTCTTGTCGATTCCGCATCCTTGATTCAATTTCCTTAGCATGATGAATGGTTTAAATGATAGGTTCTGATCCTTGAATGGATGCTTAAGTTGTGCTTACATTTACTTTCTATTTTCTAATTCATTTGGTATCTTTGTGCAAGCTTCCAATGGAGATTTCTCGCATCACAAGACATTAGCAGATTATTTTGCATTATATAGTTTTGTATCTTTGTGTAGGATTGTCACACGATAATTCAGATACGTGTGATTTACTTTCACATGGAGGCTTCGACGCTTATCTTTCACATCTGATTTCATGACTATGCGAAGCTTGCATGAAGTTTTTCGGGTTTTTTGAATTTTCTGAATATGAAACTTGTTCATCAAGGAATTGAAAATTGAAAATTCATATTTTAAAAGTCAAAATTTCCAAGACTTAGAATTTTTCTAAGTGTTAGAAAATTAACTTTTTTTCACAACTTTGTGCCAAATTTCCACCATGATGCAAGATGATTCAAGGGAAACTTCCAACATGAAAGTTGTAGATCTCAATGAGATCTAAAACATTATAAGGCAGAACTTTTTCTATAAATTCTTGGATCTCAAGTTATGAATTTGTGAAGACATGCTCATGAACTTAAAACACTTAGTGAAATTTTGACCTAGTTAGGCAGATTTTTGGTACCAACTTCATGGCAACTTTTCACCTAGTTCCAAGATGAATCTTCAAAAATGTCCAACATAAAGGTTGTACAAGATGTTACAAGATTTACAAAATGTCCAAGAACTCATTGAGATCATACTTGATCTAAGAGAATTGAAGGCAAGAAGTTAGGGTTTCAAACTTGAATTACAAGTCATTTCTTCATGAAGAACCTTTTGATCCAATGTTAAACATGCTGCATAATCTTGTTCCATAAGTCTATTAACCCCTAAGTCTACCTTCAGTCAGATGATTACGCAAAATTTTATTCCCTAATCCAAGCATTCAATGCATTGTCCATGCTTAATACCATTTTAGGAAGAAAGGCAACATTGTCATTTTGGAAAAGTGGCTTTAATCACAAAGTCCACTCTTCTTGAGCCTCTAACTTGTTGTTCTGAACATACACAACATGTATGCTCAGAAGCAACATGTTTAAAGCTTCTAAGCCACCCTATAAACCAGGTACTTGTGTATTTGAACCACATTTTTCAAGCTTTCTTCAAAAACAAACCAAAATCCACAAACATGTGATTCTTGATTTCTGACTTCTCCAAGCATCCAAACTTTTTGCTTATAAATAAAGACACTATTTTGTGAGCTAAGACACAAGCAAAAAACACCCTCAAACTCTCCCAAACTCAGAGCTGTGCAAAAATCACCATTTTTGTCATTTTTGGCCAAGAAACTTGAAACACAAAATCCACTCGTGCGTTTCTTTTCCAAACCCTCCACAAAGCTTTTATACCTCAAATATAACTGAACCAAATACCTGTTACATTTCTGTAACATCATCTTCTCCATCTTCCATAATCAAAAATAGAGGTTTGCATCTTGACTTCTCCAAGCCATTTCAACCACTCTCAACTCAAGCTAAGTATTGCATTAGCTTCCTAAGGACTCAAGGAAGCTAACCTGATCATTGCAGCACCTTGAATCAAGCTCATTTGCAAAACACGAATTCCATTTTTGAGGTAAGTTTTCTGACTTTTGAAATCTTCATATAGGCATTATTAACTTTCCATTTTCAAAGACAAAATGTAGATATCATAGCCCTGAAGATGACCATGTCCTCAAAATTCATTTATATTGCTTGAGTAGTGAGAATTTTAAGTTTGAACTTTCTGAAAAAGTTAGGTCAGAATTTGGTACCATTAGAAATTCTCATTCATCTTTGATTTATAGCTTATGATATTTATATGGTTGGATTCGTATGGAAAAATGGAGAATTTTCATGTTTACATTTTTCATTTTTGTTGAGAAATGAGTGAGTTACAGGAATCATGGCTGGAGGTTGAAGATGAAGCCATTTTTGGAACTTGTTTTGTATTATGTATTTATTGTTTCATTTAAGTTAACGAATGTACAGCCACCCCAATGGTAAAGGCAACATTATTATTATTTATTGTTTCATTTAAGTTAACAGATGTACAACCACCCTAGTGGTAAAGGCAGCGCGCGTTTATGGTCAATGTCATGGGTTCAAGTCCCAGCGCTGCCTTTTGTCATTATTTTTCAGCATTTTCTCCTTTTTGTCACACAACAAGCGCGCTGGGCTTAATCACTGGGTCCTTCCTTTTTTGCTGCACCACATCCCCTGCCCGCTTATCACAATACAGGCCAACCCTTTTTTTTTTTAAATTTTATTTTTTTGATCACAAAAAATATCATTGGGCCAAACTCAAACAAAAAAACATCTTTACTTACTAACCCCTTTAACCATTTTCAAACCCCCCTGACTTTTATTTTTATATTTTCTTTTATTTTATTTATATTTATTATTTTTATTATTATTATTATTAATAATAATAAAAAATCCAAAAAAATTTTTATTTATTATTTACATACCTATATTTTTATTTTCTTTATAAACAAAAAGACAAAAAAAAAATTCTTAAACAAATTTAATTCTTTTCCTTAATAGATTAAATAATTAGATTTAGATTTAGTTATTTTCTTTTTTATTTAAAATTAACTTAGAACTTAATTTTCTTTTAATTAATTAATTTCCATATTATTTTTATTAAACTAAAAAACCCTTTTCTAAAAAACCTAAAAAATGCTTTCCAACTTAATTTCTTTTCTTAATTAGTTTAGGCTTAATTTTATTAATTTAATTAATCATTTTCTTTTAGATAATTAGGTTAAAGCCCTTTTCCTAAAAAAATCCAAATAAAAATCATTTCCTTTCCATTTATACCCTTGTATATTATTTATTCATTCTTGTACTATATTCAATAGGGTTGTAATAGATAATTAGGTTTAATTTCTTGCAATCCCCCATTTGTAACTTTGTATACCCCATCCCCCATAATGATGTAATAGCGTAGTAATTTTACTTTCCGCAATTTATCGCTTTCATATAAATGCTAGTAATTAGGGTTTGTATGGAAAGATAAAATCAACAAAGTAGATAACCCTAATTCAAGATAATCAATGCATGTAAATCAAACACACTATTCACACATGCACCCTTAAGGTAATTACACTTGTTGCCTTATAAAAATGGTCATGTTATGCATGTGGGATATCTTTGCAAAAATAATCAAAAATACAAGATCATAGTCCCTCGATGACGCTACCAATGTTGCCTTTCAAATGATCTTAGTCCCTCAAAGAGAAATGCTAAGATATCTCACAACATTGCTATCATGACTATACGATGACCCACACTCGTCCCTTTACATCCAAAGATGAGACTTCTTACCAATAAATGGTAAGATATCAATATTAAAGGAAAGGAAGAAATGAACAAAAGACTTTTGAGTAGGTAGATTGTTCCTAGTTGCTTGCTCACTTTTAAAACAAACATCCTTGCTCATTTTTAAAACAAACACCAAACACTTTCAAAAACAAACTTTCAAAACATAAAATATTTTCAAAAGTCCAACACTTTGTATACGTTCTTACGGACGAGAACCATTACAAAGTTTGCCTAAACGAATACTCCTTTTCAAAATACTTTCAAAAACTATCACAAAGCACATTTTCAAACAAAAGCAAGTTATCTAGAAAGTAACTAAGAGCCCATAGATAACTATGGATGAAAAGGGTGATAACACCTTCCCTTTTCATAATCTACCCCCCAAACACAAGAAATAATCTCAATGGTCTTTCCTGTTCTTTTCCACCTTTCCTTTTGGACAAAAGAAAAGTCGGTGGCGACTCTTACTAACCGCAACAATTGCGATCAAACACAAAACATTCCAAGTCAGTTCTCCCACCTATTACAGATAGTAATGTTTAAAACAAAAAGATTTAATAATAAATTTTTTTTTGAAAAGAGTTTTTAAATTACTTTTTACTTCAAATTTTGTGATTCAAGTAAAAAAAAGTAGTCATTCCAAGAATGGACGAACTCCGAAGTTTTGAAAAATTTTTCCCCAAGAAAGTTCTTCGTGGTCACTCTTGCTCATATGCGCATGATCTTCTGGTGTTTCTCAAGTAGTTAGAGTTTATACCAATTAATATATGGTGCGATGTTGGGCATGTAATCCCATTTTCCCAGTCAAGTCTTGGGTCAGATTGTTTCTCCAAGTTAGTTATTTTGGTTTGACGTCTCTACCCCTGATTCTCCAATCAGGATCTGACGCAGATTTTTCCCAACTGAGCAACTAGACAAGGGAAGATATCTTTTCTAAGAAGTGTTGAGACAATTGTCAACTTTTTGGGTTTCCTCTCACCAAGTTTTGGGTTTGATTTAAAATCCCCATAATTTTTATTTCTTGTGGTATTGTTAAAATTCTTAGACCTCCAATTGAAGCTGAGATGATG